GTTATACAACAACACAAGACGCAGAGTGGATGGATCAGAAAGACTCTACCTTTTAATAGTGTGGAGAAGGGTAGCAATAATGGTCGCACAACATGAAAAATGCCATCAATGTCCCTGATCCGCAATTGTGGAAGCTGTTATGTTGGTGAATATCTTGATGCCCGTGTTTTCACCATAATAAAAGTGAAAGGGGGGGAAAAAAAAAGGTCCACCTTTTAAAATTAAAACCGTAACATCAAATTGTCCTCCCTTGTCCTTGGCTGAAATATGCCTTTTTAAAGGGTATCTACAGCTCCATCCTCAGTCCACTTGGCCCCAAGACTTTCTCTCTTCAAAAGCTGGCTTTCAGCTGTCAGGATTTGGATCTTTTTTATTTCAGGATTCTTTCTGATAAATGTGTGTGTCTGCAAGCACACACACGTACATGTGTGAGACTTACCTATACAATTACAGCCCTACATATCTTTAGTCCTAGTTTTATTCCAAAGGTACGCCTCCAAATTTTATGTCCCTAAGAGTTCTCTTTCCTCCTTTCCATGAAGCAAATGAAAACTCCCTGTGATGTGGCCCCCACCCTTGTCTTTAAAAGCCCCTCCACCCACAAGTTAAAACACAGTGACCTCCTGGCCTCCTCCTGTTTCTCAAACTTCCAGGTTGTTTTTTCAACCTGGAAATACCACAAGGGGGTGCCTTTCACAGATAGAAATGTATTTTCTTACAGTTAGGAGGGTAAAAGCCGGAAGCCAGGGTGTGCCTCTAGGGGAAGGCTTTCCTCCTCTGTTGGCTCTGGGGGAAAGGACCTCGCCTCTTCAGCTTCTGTTCCTCGGAGAGCCTCACGTGGCACGACGTCTGTCCCCCCATCTCTGCTCGCTGGCTTGTTTAATCTCCTTTCTATTGAAAAGAGACTGCCTGAAGACACACCCTGCGCTAACACTGTTCATTAACATAACTAGAAACCCATTCCCAAGTGGGGATTATATAACTGCTACAGGGGTCGGATTTACAACACCTATTTGGGGGGAACAAAATTCAATTCGTAACAGGCTGCTCCCAATTGCTTGCTGCTCTCAACCCTCCACTAGGAAGAGCTCTGGTGGCCTAGTGTCTAAAGCATTTGACTGCTAACCAGAAGGCTGGTGGTTCAAACCCACTAGCCACTCCTCGGAAGAAAGACTGGGCAATCGACTTCCGCAGCGATACCACCTCAGACACCCAAGGAGGGGTTGCTATTAGTCAGATCTGACTCCATGGTAGTGAGCTGGGTTGGTCTCAACCCTCCACAGTGACTTGCCTTGTTCTACTGGGCCTAGACTATGAGCCACACCCTTGAGGCAGGACGACAGACTCCTAGGTCCGGGCACTTCACATTTTGACAGTCACTGTGTCTCAAAAAGAAGTTCTGGTGGTGTATGAGTAAAGCATTTGTCTGGTAACCAAAAGGTCAGTGGTTCAAACCCCCCAGCCCCTCCACAGAAAAAAGATGAGACGATCTGCCTCTGAAAAGATTTACAACTTTACGACTAGGATCTTAAAGGCTTGCAAGCGGCCATCAAGATGCAATGATGGGTATCTCCTCATCCAGAGCAAAGAATGAAGAAAAACAAATGGAAACAATTAGTTCAAGGCACTGGTAGACCAGGTAATCCTCAGCCTATATGACTATGAGACCAGAAAACTACATGGTGCCCAGCTACCTCTGTCAACCACTCGGAGGAGGATCTGTGTAGGAGATCCTGGATAGAATGGGAGAAAAATGTGGAACAAAAAAAAAGACCAGGTTTGCTGGTCTGATAGAGCCTGACAGAACCACTGAGACTATGGCCCCTAGCTGCCCTTCAGGTCTGGAATTGAATCCACTCCTGTGGCTTCCAGGCAAACAAAAGACAGGCATATGAGCTGAACATTTACCTGAGGTAGATACACTCTTTGGAGAGAACAATCATGAGAGACTAGAAGGGCTGTGGATACACAGGGAGACAGCTCGGGGCAGGAGTGCATGGAGGGAAGGACACAGGGAAGAGGTAACTTTGGGGAGGAAGTAGGAGGGGAGCTGTTGCATTGTGGGAAACTGCAGTCAATGTCATGAGACAAAGTGTATGTGAACTCTTGTATGGAATATGAATCTGCTCTGTAAACTTTTACCCAAATCACAATAAAAAGTAAAAAAAAAAAAAAAGAAGAAGAAGAAGAAGAAAAAGATTTACAGCTTTGGAAACCAAATGGGGGTAGCTATGAGTGGGAACTGACTCAATGGCAGTGAGTTTGGTTTCGTGTCTCAAAGCCCTTGAGCAGGCGTTATGGTCACTTTTTTCCCTTGCGTGTCTGGTGGAGGGTAAGGGAGTGCTGACTGAGAGTGCCAAGTCGGGCACCTCACTCTGTCCCACCCCTCACCTGTACATACTCCTTCTGCAGGGTGGGAAGCTCTCTAAACTCCACAAAGGGCCTGGAAACCAAGACTTTGAACCGGTTCGTTCCTATTGTAGATTCTGATTCTGTATATCTGGAGTGGAAAGGCAAATTCTCAATAGGGCTCAAACCAGAATGAACTGGTTCAAAGCCCTGCTGGAAACACAGTGCACTTTACCATCAATCAGGCCTGAGTCTGAATTGCTGCCCAAGCTCCTTAGACTCTCTGGACTCCACTATCACATCTGCAAACAGGGAACAGCCTTTGGGGCTGCCGAGAATGAAGAAGTTGTAGAGTGCTTTGCAAATGGTTAAGGAGCTCTGGTGTAGTGGTGAAGGCATTTGACTGCTAACCAAAAGGTCAGTGGTTCAAACCTACCAGCCACTCCATGGAAAAGAATTGGGGGAGTCTGCTTCTATAAAGATTTACAGCCTTAGAAACCCACTAGGGGTCACTATGAGTGGGAACTGACTTAATGGCAGTGAGTTTTAGAGTACTGTAAATGGTTACAGGCATGTTACTGTTATTTCAGCTGGTGCCTGATGGTTGTTTCCTAAACATTAGGCAGAGCCTACTTAAAACATTCAACAGCTAATAGAAAAGTTGAAAGTTCAAGTCTACCAATAGGTTCCCTGGAATAATACCTGGCAATCTAGTCTAAAAAAAAAATCAGCCACTTAAAATTCTATGGAGTTCTGGGTTTGGGACCATAATCGCAGGGGACATAACATACTACACAAAACACTGTTCCACCTCCTACTTTGACAAGCAGCGACTGGGATCTTAAAAGCTAGCAAGCAGCCACCTAGCTGCAATGATGGGCCCCTCCTCGTCCACAGCAAAGAAGAATGAAGGAAATCAAGGATTCATGGAAACAATTAGGCCTCGCAACTAGTACAGCATGTGATCCTCAGTCTATATGACTGTGAGACCAGAACTAGATGGTGCCCAGCTACCACTGTCAACCACTCGGAGGGGGATCTATGTAGGAGATCCTGGACAGAGAGGGAGAACAATGTGGAACAAAACTCAAAATCATTTGGGAATAAAAAGGGGGGGGACCAGGTTTGCTGGTCTGATAGAGCCTGGTGGAGCCACTGAGACTATGGTCCCTAGCTGCCCTTCAGGTCTGGAATTGAACCCACATCTGTGGCTTCCAGCCAAACAAAAGACAGGCATAGGAGCTGAACATTTACCTCAATAGATACACCCTTTGGAGAGAACAATCATGCGAGAAAGAAGGGTTACTTATGCACAGGGAGACAGCTCAGGGGGCAGGGGTGTATGGAGGGAATGACACAGGGAAGAGGTAACTATGGGGAGGAAGTGGGAGGGGAGCTGTTGCATTAGGGTAAATTGGAGTCAATGTCATGAGACAATGTGTGTGTGAACTGCTGTATGGAAAGTGAATTTACTCTGTAAACTTTCACCCAAATCACAATTAAAAAAAAAAAAATGCTATAGAGCACAGTTCTACTGGGACACACCTGGGGTCGCCATGAATCAGAACAGACTCCGTGGCAACTGGTCAGTTACTCTGTGATGTTTACCCACCTCACCCCTTAGTAGCTGAATGTTGTTGTTGTATGCCGTGGAGTCAGCCCTGACTCATAGCGACCCCTCCTTGGGTTTCCGAGGCAGTATCATTACGGAAGTAGATTGCCCAGTCTTCCTTCCGAGGAGTGGCTGGTGGGTTTGAACCGCCAGCCTTCTGGTTAGCAGTCAAGTGCCTTAGGCACTATGCTACCAGAGCTCCTTAGTAGCTGGAGGAAGGGCTTAAAATAAGACATTAGGCTCACCTTTCTGAGCTTCGTTCCTGTCCTCAGTTTCCTCACTTTTTCTGGCCCTCTTGAGTACTGAGGCGAAGAACCAAACTCTTGGACAAAGTCATTCATTCAACAACAAACACCGAGCACCTCTGATTTGCCAGTCACGGTGGGCGTCTATTTTCTCGTATCAGCAAACGGAGAGATTGTTTTGCTCTAAAGGGAAACTGTGTTTTTGGGGCGGGGCAATTCTTGCGAGGGTCTGTCCCCAGCACTGCAGAACGCTTACTATCTCCGCTCCGGGCCCTTTAAAGGTAGGTTTAATTGATTCAATTCAAAAACGTCCCCTCCATTCCTAAGCGGCCCCTAGGGGGCAACATCCGCATTCTGGAGACTAGCAAGGGGGCGGCCCAATTCCTGCTCCACCTGGAAAATTTAGAATGATCCCAGGGCCCACGAAGAGCGGGAGACTACGTCTCAGGGCAACAGGGCCTTACACTGGCTCCAGGATGGCCCCAGGTCGTGGGGCTCTCGGTTCTGACTCATCGGTTTCTAGTTTGCCACAGCTCTTTGCAGTTACGCCCGACCTGGCCAAGATCCAACCCAGGAACTTCAGGTTTCCGTTCCCGGACGAGATTTTGGGTCTTGGGAAAGAAGGAATGGATTTGCCCTCGTCCCCCAATTCTTGGCTTTCGGGACTTCAAGGGTTAAGGCAGCTGGCCGCGCAGAAACCGCCTCGCCGCTAGAGGGACTACAGCAGAGGCTCAGCTGAGCTGCGCGGTCACGTGGGGGCGAGGGCGGGCCCAAAATGAGTACTGGCCAATGGGCTGTGCTGTCGGTGGGCGAGATAACCAATAGGAGCAAGGAGCGGGGGTCCCGGGACTAGAAAGAAACGGCGGCCGGGAGAGGGCTACTGGGACCATGGGGCTTCTGACCATTCTGAAGAAGATGAAGCAGAAAGAGCGGGAGCTGCGACTACTCATGCTGTATCCTCCCGGACGCCGCAGCCGCGAGGGTACTGGGGTCCCCGCCGGGGGACGGTGCCAGTCGCCCTCTACCGGGCGCAGGGTGCGCGGCCCGCCGGCCTGTACCAAGTGCCCATTGTGCGTCACGCACGTGGGCCCTACCACTCGCTTCTAGCGGGGGGCCGGGAGGAGGCCGTACCATCGGCTGGGGCGAGGTGGCTCCAATCTAAAGGCCAAAGGTGTGGGCTTAAAAGCGCAGCGGAGGGACCAGATGTACCAAATGTAGTGGGGCACTAGGGCCCAAAGGTGACTCGGACGTCAGCTTCCGGCGACCTGGCCCAAGCGTGGGGCCGCTGGCCTCTTGGCTCCAACCTCCCTCCCCCCGCCCTGTCCGAGGATGCCGGGCTCCCGCTCCTCCCTCGAGTTCGGAATCCCGGGGGCGGCCTGGACCTGTGTCGGGGGCGGGGAGCGTGGGTCCATCTGTCCGTGTCTTTGCCACCCCTCGTCTCCGCGACTGAAGACTTGTAACCCTCGGGCCCCTGCATGCATTCGCCCTACTCTGTGCCGAGCTTAGACCTGCAAGCTGGGCTGGCCACCCGGAGCTCCCGGTGCTGGGGAGTAAAGACGTTTCCGTGTGCACGTAACGTAAAAATAGTACACTTGTCGTGTTCATTGTAAAGAACCCCGAGAAAGGCACAGAAAATTCATTCATTCAGGAAACACTTACTGAGCGCCTATTATGTGCTAGACGCTGACCTAGGGGCTGGGATAAAACAAATACCTGTTCTCTTGGAAGTTACAGAATGCTAAGAGAAGAAGTGATGAACAAAACAAAGGGTAAATTATAGAGTATGTATGAGGAGGAAATCCCTTAGAATAGAGTGAGACAAGGAAGCCGCATGGCAATAACAGCGGAGTAAAAAGAAGGGTGAACCCTCTAGTTACCTGGGGAGACCCATCAAGGCAAAGACGTCGCCACTGCACAGGGCCCCAAATGACCTCAGCTGGGGTGTTGAAAGGTAGCGTGGGGGGAGAGACCAAGCTAGGAGAGGTCCCAGGGAGCCTTTTCCTTTCAGTAAAAAGACGGCCACCAGCAGGGTCTTGTCAAAGCAGGAGTGTGGTCTGACTGGGGCTTCTGTGTTGTGGAGTGGGGCAGGGTAGAAGCAGGGACACCCGTTTGAGGGCAGGGAGGCAGATGCAGTGATGCAATGACATACGATGATGGCTGGGAGCAGGATGGAAGCAGCCAGCTGATGGAAACGAGAAAACCTAGGGAGGGCTGGCAGGAGTTCCTGATGGATTGGCCAAAGGTGTGAGTCCCAGCAAAGTCAAGCCCGACTCCTGGATTTCTTGGCCTGAGCCATTAGGAGAACGAGGAGCTACCTGTTGAGTTGACAGAGATGACCAGGGCAGCTTGGGACCACGTGAGACCCCCCCTGAGGCATCCGAGGAATGGCACACAGGCTGTGTACTGGGACTGGTGGCCAGGGGGCAGCTGGGCAGGAGGCATAAAGATGGTATTTGCAGCCAGGGCCCTGGAGGAGCTCGTCAGAGAGTGAAGTGTACTGGGAGTAAGAGGTCAGGATGAATAGGAAGAGACCCCGGGAGGGTGTGTCCCGGAGTTAAGGGCTGGACAGTTGGAGAGTTCGAGATGAGCCAGTCTTGTCAGGTGTTGCTGGGAGAGCTGGAAGCCTGGGACCAAGCCCCGCCAGCCACTGGGGAGCAGCACAGAGGGCGCTGAGGACGCGCCTCGGCAGGAACAGCCTTAGAGAGGCCGAGGGACCAGAAACCCAACGAGAGTGGCTTCTAGAAAGAGCGGAGGGCAGTGACTGGAGAGGGTGATGAGAGTCGGCTGCTATGAAGCGCTGTGCCGTAAAGGGGAGGAAATAAATAACCAGATAGAGGGGGGAGGGGAGCACGAGAAGGTGGGAGTAACATCTAGTCTGTCAGCTGATGGCGATGACCCCGTGGAGGAATCAGGGATGATGGGGGTGGTTACCAGGGACTGTGGGAGAGCCTTTCATCACCCATTTCATGACTTGAGTCACTTGCCCCAGGTCAGGTGAGTAGTAAGAGGCCAAGCCCAGGCCCTGGGTCCCTCCTCTCTCCTACTCTCACTGGCTTGCACACACACACACCTGCTAGTGTCCTTAAGTGTTGGAAGCTAAGAGGAGAATCGTTCCCTCTTGCTGGTGAACTCACTCACCACTCCTTTGCACACTCAGCAGCGAAGGGTTTGGCATATTCCAGAAACAGGAAGAAGCCAGGGCAGCTGCCCTGAGACACTCGCTCGTGCTGTCCCTCTTCCTGGAATGCTGTTCCTAGAATCCTCAGAAAACTGGCTCCTTGTAGTTCCGGCCTGAGCTCCAGACGCCGTTTCAGAGGTGTCCTGGAGAGGTGTCCTGGCATCCGTGCTAACAGCACCCCTTGGGTGGCCCTCACAGAGTCTCATGGTTGGGTTTCTGACGCTCACCGGCACCTGACAGAACCTTACTTTCTCGCTGGTTTGCACTCTGTCTGCTGTGTCCTTGCTGGAGGGTCAGCTGCCCGAGGGCAGGGTCTTTGTCCTCTTCTCTGGGTTGCCCCACCCCCCAAAAGGGGGCCTGGGCCGTGGCAGGTATTCAGTGAACGTTTGTAGGTAGAGATGAGATGTTCGTTTCTTGTGCCTTCACGTCTGTGCCAGTGGTGGGAGGGCGTGTGCTCCTCTGCCTTTGGTTTGTGCTGGGTGACAGTGCCGCTGACCTGCAGGGCATAGCATTCCTCCTTAACGACGTTTCCAGTGGCCTGGACAACGCTGGCAAAACCACCATCCTTAAGAAGTTCAATGGAGAAGACATCGACACTATCTCCCCAACGCTGGGCTTCAACATCAAGACCCTGGAGCACCGTGGGTGAGCGGGGTCCCAGCGGGCAGGCTGGCCCAGAGCCGGGCAGGGAGGGTGGGAAAGGGGCCAGGCTGACCCTCCAGCCGCCCCATGCCCAGATTCAAGCTGAACATCTGGGACGTGGGCGGCCAGAAGTCCCTGCGATCCTACTGGCGGAACTACTTTGAGAGCACGGACGGCCTCATCTGGGTGGTGGACAGCGCCGACCGCCAGCGCATGCAGGACTGCCGGCGAGAACTCCAGAGCCTGCTGGTGGAAGAGGTGGGTGGTGGCCTGGCCAGGGCTGGGGTGGCGTTCCAGTAGATTCCCGGAGGGCTCCAGGGCCGGAGGAACACTTAGGGCCGTAGTCCGGCCCTTCACCAAGCACCCTCCGGGAGGCAGACTTTTCCCCAGTCTAGGGAGGCCCACGGTGGGGTGGGCAGGGCACACGCTGTGGACCAGTAACCTGGGGTTCCAGCCCCGTGCTGTCGCCCATCACAAAGGAAACGTGGTCCTGAAATTAAACCCACATCATTGGGTGGCTCACAGCCAATATGTGGAGGCCTGGCTCAGGGGTCAGAATGTTTGCTGTGTGACCTCAGGCAAGGCCCTTAACCTCTTAGAGCCTCCACTTCCTACTTTAAAATGGGGACTGTAACCAGGGCAATCCTATAACTTACCATCCACAACCCAGAGCCCACCGCCACCAAGATGATTCTGACTCACAGCAATCCCAGTGGGTTGCTGAGGCGGTAAGTCTCCACGGAAGTACATTGCCCAGTCTTGCTTCCATGTGTGTCCACAGTAGAGCATGATTTTTTTTTATTTATTTTTTTTTTTATTAGGATTTGGGTGAAGATTTGCAGTGTAAATTCACTTTTCATACAGCAGTTCACATATACTATGTCTCATGTCATTGACCAAAATTTACAATGCAGCAGCTCCCCTCCCACTTCCTCCCCATAGTTACCTCCTCCCAGTGTCCATCCCTTCATACTCTTCTGCACCCTGAGCTATCTCCCTGTGCATAAGCAGCCCTTCCTTCTCCCATGATTGTTCTCTCCAGGGCGTGTGTCTACTTGAGGTAAATGTTTAACTCACATGCCTGTACTTTGTTTGGCTGGAAACCACAGTTGTGGGTTCAATTCCAGACCTGAAGGGAAGCTAGGGGCCATAGTCTCAGTGGTTACACCAGGCTCCATTGGACCAGCAAACCTGGTCCCCACCTTCTTTTTTTTTTTTTTGCCTCCAAACGATTTTGAGTTTTGTACCACATTGTTCTCCCTCTTTATGTAGGATCTCCTACATCCCTTCCAAGTGGATGGCAGTGGTAGCTGGGCACCATCTAGTTCTTCTGGTCTCATAGTTGTATAGGTTGCAGATCGGATGGTGTACCAGTCGCTAGGACTGATTGTTTCCATTAATTTTGCTTTTCTTCTTTCTTCTTGACGAGGAGAGACCTGTTGTTGCATCTAGATGGCAGCTTGCTAGCTTTTAAGATCCCAGTCGCTACTTGCCAAAGTAGTAGGTGGAACAATGTTTTGTATAGTATGTTATGCCAATTGAGCTTGATGTAGAGCATGATTTTTAAAAAATAAAATCTTAGATTCACAGAAAATTGTAAAGATAGTACAGAGTCACTTCCACCATTTCCCTGCCTTCCTTGATGTTAACAGCATGCTTGTCAGCGTTTGCAAATTAACCTTGATGGCACCCAACAGCAACACCAACACTGCAGGCCGCACTAGAGGCTTTGTTTGGATTTCTCCAGCTTTTCCATTAATCACGTTAGTGCACACCCTGGAAAAACCCAACAAAGCCTGTAGTTTCGTAGCATTGCACCAAGCAAACTTCTGACGTTATTAGTGGAAATTGACAATTCGATCCAGGCTGAAACAAACCAAAGCAAACAACCGGTTCACGTCAAGTCCATTTCCACTCAAGACGACCCCAGCAGCTGCTCCGTGGGGTTTTCAAGGCCGTGACGTTTTACAGATTGCCTGACTTTTCTTCCAAGGCAGTTCTGAGGGTTTTTGAACCACCAACACATGCTCACCGACTTGTGCTGCGTGGGGACCCCTGACCCAGGCTACTGCCTGCATTCAACCAAGGAACTTTGGAGAGTGAAGGGGGAGAGAGTGTCGTTAGTAATTACTGATCGAGACAGAAATAGATTAGTCGTTGCCATGGGCTGGGAAGAAGACTGGGCAATCTACTTCCGAAGAGATACCGCCTCGGAAACCCAAGGAGGGGTCACTATGAGTCAGGGCCAACTTGATGGCAGTGAGTTTGCTGTGTTTTTTTATGGGCTCGGAAGAATGGGGAGTTACAATAAATGTACTTATTTATACAATGACAATAGGTATAAACAGGGCTGTCCTGGGCACATAGAGACATGTGATCCCTGTCTAACAGTAGCCTCTGCTGGGGGTGTTGGACAGGTCAGGTGAGAGGATGGCCATCTGAGCTCAGCCCAGGCTGGCCCGTTTCAGCTCTTTATGGTTGGACCCACATGGAGAAGGCCTGTCGCAAACGCATACAGAAATCACTACCAGTCGAAGGGCTGCGGGAACTTTGGAGAAGGGAAGGCCCTTGCACAGGTCTGCCCATCAGTTTCATCAAGCAGCCTCGGACCACAGAGGGACTGTCTTAACCAACACCCCTCCCCTTTGATGGAAGAAGTAGAGGCACTGGGGGGGAGAGTGGTTGGACTGGAAGCAGAGCCCCACTCGGCCTAGGCCTCCCTCCACCCCACGTGGGGCCAGCCTCAGTGGCCTTGTCCACACAGTCCATGCCACCCTGGCATCTCCTACCACCATGGGGCCTGGCCTGATGCCAGAGGAGGCGCCGGGGTGCCTGCAGTAGGGCTGGGATGCCCTCTGAACCTCCCCACCTGCACCCCTCTCTTCTCTCCCCAGCGCCTGGCCGGAGCAACCCTTCTCATCTTTGCCAACAAGCAGGACCTGCCCGGGGCACTGTCCTCTAATGACATCCGCGAGGTGAGTGCAGGCCTTGGGGAAAAAGAGAACACGTTTCCAGGTTAATTTATTTTAAAAGCACTTCTTAGCCCTCTATTGTGTGTCAGGCCCACGGGACACTGGGGTTTGGTGCTTAATAAGGGCTGGTGTAGTGGCACCCCTATAATGCTTGGCTGCTGACCAGAAGGTTGGTAGTCTGGACCAGTGACTTCTTGGGAGAGAAGACCTGTCAGTCTGCACCAGTAAAGATGACAGTGCAGGAAACCCTGTGGGCAGTTCCACTCTGTCCTCTAGGGGCGCTGTGAGAATGGACTCCACGGCAGTGGGTGTGGTTTGGGCTTTGCTTCTGTGAAGACTGACAGCCTTGGAGACCCTGTGGGGCAGTTCCACTCTGTCCTCTAGGGGCGCTGTGGGTCAGAATCCACTCCACGGCAGTGGGTTTGGTTTGGGCTTTGGTCTATAAAGATTGACAACCTAGGAAACCCTGTGGGGCAGTTCTGCTGTGTCTTGAAGGGTTGCTATGAGTCTGAATTGACCATAGTGGTGCCCAGCCTGGGGGAGGCGGACCTGCAAATGGATTATTCCAGGGGTTACCACAGTCAGTGTAGACTGAGGGTTCTCTCTGCACTGGGCCCTTTGTAGGTGTTAACTCATTGAATCTTCACAATGTTGCTGTTGTTGTTATATGCCCTTGAGTCAACCCCAACTCATAGCGACCCCTCCTTGGGTTTCCGAGGCTGTATCACTACGGAAGTAGATTGCCCAACCTTCCTTCTGAGGAGTGGCTGGTGGGTTTGAACCGCCAGCCTTCCGGTTAGCAGTCAAGTGCCTTAGGCACTGCGCTACCAGAGCTCCTTTCTTCACAATGTAGGAACTATTATTACCGTTTTACAGATGGGGACTAGGCTCAGAGAGGATAGGTAACTTGTCCAAGGTCACACAGCTCATAAGTAGGCAAGCCAGGATCTAAACCCAAGATTATCTGGCTCTAGAGCCTGAATAGTAACCATTGTTCTAGTTCTTGAACTCCAGAGTGAAAAAGAGTAGGGTTGGAATCTTGGTTCTGCCACTAGCTAGCTGTGTGACTTTAGGGCAGTTGCTTAACCTGTCTGAGCCTTGGTTTCCTTTACTATAAAATGACTGACACAATTCCTGTCTCCGGAGGCCTTGTGAGGAGTGGATGAGAGGGCATTTGTAGGACCCTAGTGGGTGCTTGAACCCATGTTGCCCCTCCGTCACTGAGGGGCAGTGCTGGTGTGTACAGGGGGGCTGACAGGCCCTCCCCGGGGTCAGGGGAAGCTTTCTGGAGTAGCGCTTTGAGGGAGACGCAGATGTCACCTGGGCTGGGAGAGGGAAGGGGTGCAGACAGGGGAGCCTGTGGTCATGGCCCCTCCACCCGCCCGCCCTCCCAGGCCTTGGAGCTGGACTCCATCCACAGCCACCACTGGTGCATCCAGAACTGCAGTGCCGTCACCGGGGAGAACCTGCTGCCCGGCATCGACTGGCTCCTGGATGACATCGCCAGCCGCATCTTCACAGCTGACTGAGCCGCCCGAGATGCCCACCTCCCAGCCCAGGCCCCTAGCCCCGGCCCACACCACGCGCCGTCCACGGGGGGATGGGAGTCAGCCAGCCAGACTGACACCGCTCCCCACTCCGTAACCTGCTGCTGCTGCTACTGCTGCCCGCCGCTGCTCCAGGACCAGCCAGCTCCCGTGGCGGGAGGCCTGCCGCCCTGGCTGCTACCCCGGCTCCCGACCCCAGCCCGGCTCCGGCTGCCATGCTGAGAAAAGGAGGCTGGGCCGGGGAGGGGCCGCCTGTGCTGCTACCAAGGCTGTGGGCCTCGTCCTTGGCTCAGCTGTGAAAATAAACCAGTCCTTGCCTCCCACTCCTGGCTCATTGGTTGGTCCAGCAGCTTCTTAACATCTGAGGGCCTGTAGTCTGGTGGGGACAGAGGGAGCAAGTGGCCTCCGTCTGAGGATTACGTGGGCACACGGGCAGGAAGGTAGAATGTGCTGAGAAGCGGCTCCCTGAGAGCCACTGGAACCTAGCGGTATCTGGAAGAGCCCAGACCCTCCCTTGTGCCCCTGGCTGCCCCCACCCAGTTTGCCCCACATCTACACGCACATAGGCAGCTAATCATGGTTCGTGCGGTGCCGCGAATTACTTAACGGGGCCCTTCTAGCCATGGTCTTCTGATATTCCTACTAAAAGATTGGGTGGGACTTTGCAAATAAGGTGCTTGTGGTCCAGCAAGGGAACTGGATAGCATGCT